TCCTAGAAGAAAACATGGGTTTGTGTCTAGGGAAAGCCCCCTACTCCTTTAAAAAAACTATACTTTAAAGTCCAGATGCATGAAAAATTAATAAATACAATCACATCGGGCAGCTCTTGTAGCTCAGTGGGTAGTGTGTTGGCCACATACACTGAAGTTGGTGGGGTGGAATCCAGCCTGGGCCAACTAAAACAACAATGACAACTGCAACAACAACAAAAAGCCAGGTGTTGTGGCGGGTGCCTGTAGTCCCGGCTACTTGGGAGGCTGAGGCAAGAGAATCGCTTAAGCCCAAGAGTTTGAGATTGTTGTGAGCTGTGACGCCACGGCAGTCTACCCAGGGTGACAGCTTGAGACTTTGTCTCAAAAAAAAAGAAAAAAATACAATCACATAATTTTTTTTGCATGGCAAAAATACTATAAGCAGAATTAACAGACAAATGACAAACCAGGGGGAAGTGATTTGTAAGAGCTATCATAAATAAAGGGCTAATCTTCCCCAAATAGAGGAAACTTTTTTTAAATGGGAATAAGAAAAAAATCCAAGACCTGATAGAAAAATTGGCAAAAGACGTGAATAGATAATTCATAGAAAAAAGATTATGCAGATGGCCCTTAAACCTATGAAGAGATGGTTGGCTTCATTCATAATAAACAAAATGCAAATTAAACCCCAATGAGAGATCATTTCTCACCCATGTGATTGGCAGACATTCAAAGGTTTGATGAACACTCTGGTAATGAGCTTTAGGAAAATCTCTCATACAGTGCTAGTGGGAAGGCAAATTGGCCCAAGTCCTATGGAAGGGAATTTGTCAATATCTAAAAAAAAAAAAAAAAATTACTTATATATTTACTGCTTGACCTAGCAAGACTTCTAGGAATTTACATGGAAGATCATCTCCACAGAATAGAACACTATGCCAAGACTATTCACTGCAGTATTATTTACAATAGCAAAATATTACAAACAACCTAAATGCCAATTGAGAGTGGATGAATAAATTACAGCACTCTAGTTGTCATGCAATGATGTCAAATGCAGTAATTAAAAATAATGATAATAGAGGAAGATCTCCATGTAGTGGCATGGAGTGATTTCCAGGGCATATGTTAAGTAAAAAGCCAGGTAACAAATCAAATCAAGTAAACAAACAAAAGGCTCAGTTTATCAAGGAGTGTATACAATGTTCTTTTATAGAAGAAAGTAAGAGACTATTTATTTTTGTGAAAAGAAACGGGTAGGATACATTGGAAACTGGGAAAAAGAATTAACCTGTAGGGTGTGGATGTGAGTGAGGTACAGGCAATGAGGATGAACTTGATGCTTATTTGAGTTTACTTTTTATATAGAGTTGAAATTTGAACCATGTAAATGTTGTCCATCTTCAAAAAAACAAGATTAAATTTAAAAGAATTTGAAAAGCAAACCCTATTTTGTGGAAGTTCTAATTCGTGGCAAAAAAAAAAAAAAAAGCAAATCCTAAAATTAAGTGCAAAGTAAGTGATGCCAACCATATATCAAATTGTTAGCAGAATCATATGGAAGAGGTATTAATTCAAGTAACTTTTGTCTACAAATATTCTGTCTATGAGGGATATATTCTAAAGCTGTTCTATTCAATGCAATAACCACTAGCCACGTTTGGCTATTTATTGAAATACTTAAAGTGAAAATACTTGTTCTAGTTTGAATGTTTGTGTCCCCTCCAAAATTCATGTTGAAACTTAATTGCCAATGCAACAGTATTAAGAGGTGGGGCCTTTAGAATGTGATTAAGTCATAAGAACAGAGCTCTCATGAATGGGATTAGTGACCTTATAGAAGGGACGGAGGGAGCCCTCTTTGCTCTTCTACCTTCTACCATATGAGAATGCAACATGACAGCCTTTATCAGACACCAAATGCCAGTGCCATGGTCTTGGACTTCCCAGCCTCTAGAGCTATGAGAAATAAATTTCTATTATTTATAAACTCCCTTTTGGTCTCAGATATTTTGTTACAATAGCAAAGTAGATCAAGACAGTATTTAAATGCTTAAATAGGGCAGCACCTGTGGCTCAAAGGGTAGGGCGCCGGCCCCATGTGCTGGAGGTGGTGGGTTTAAACCCACCCCCGGACTAAAAAAAAATGCTTAAATAAAATTAAAAAATTAGTTCCTCAGTCATACTTGTATGACTTGAAATTTATGGTCATACATTTCAATAACCATATGTAGTTAGTGGCTACCATATTGGACAGAAGAGTTACAGAGCTTTCCGTTAAGGCTGGACATTCTAGTAGACATCAATATTTTGAGGACAAAGAAAATTGCACATACATCTTGATTTTTTTCTTAGTAGCTTTGTGATAGGTAGTAACAGTAGTATAGCAATTATGATACTTTTTGAATATTGAAGGATAGAACAAAAAAATTAGATACGTTGATTTATGGGAAAGTAAGTTCTACTGAAGAAGAGAAATATAAACATGAAAATGGGCTCAGCACCTGTGGCTCAAGTGGCTAAGGCACCAGCCACATACACCTAAGGTGGTGGGTTCCAATCCAGCCTGGGCCTGCCAAACAACGATGGCTGAGGCAGGAGACTCCCTTGAGCCCAGGAGTTGGAGGTTGCTGTGAGTTTTGATGCCATGGCACTCTACCCAGGGGGACAGCTTGAGGCTCTGTCTCAAAAAACCCAAAAAACAAAAAGCATGAAAATGGGATGATGAGGAAATCATGAAGAATTTGATTTTAATTGGAACTATCAGTATTGCCTGTCTACTAAACAAATGACACCTCGGAACCAATGAGCACTGAGTACCCAGATCTTGGTTTCTAAATACCATTCCCTGACAAAAGGAAACTGAGTTGCATGGAGAAATTGGTGATTCTAGATCTGATTTAGGGAGAGTATCAGATGAGCCTGTGCCAGAATGAAGTAGGTACTCAAGAACTGATGGGGAACATGTCAACAGGACACAGGTGTGAAGGGAGCGCCCACTGGACATATTTGGGACAAACCGAGCCAATGGAGATAGCAACAGTAAAGGATTAGAACATACTGAGTGAAAAAAAAATCCACAATGATACTAGGAGAGAGGGAGAGGACCAGCTGTGGTGGCTCACATCTATAATCCTGGCACTCTAGGAGGCTGAATTGGGAGGATCACTTGAGGTCAGAAGTTCAAGACTAGCCTAAGCAAAGTGAGACCCCATCTCTACTAAAAATAGAAAAAATTAGCCAGTGGTGCTGGTGGGGGCCTGTAGTCTCAGCTACTTGGGAGGCTGAGGCAGGAGGATTGCTTGAGCCCAGGAGTTTGAAGTTGCTGTGAACTAGGCTGACACCATAGCACTCTAGCCCAGACCCAGGCAATAGAGTAAGATTTTGTCTCAAAAAATAATAAATAAAATAAAATAAATAAGAGAGACACTCTCGAGGTAGGAGGAAGAAAAGAAAAGCTCATTCTTATAGTAGAATGCCAACTAATACATGTAGAAGGAATGATAATCACTATTTTGTAGTCTCCAAATTGGGCAAATTTCATAAATGATTGCTAAATCCATTGGTGAAGGATTATTGGGGAACTAGTACATGGTCTCAAAGAATGGTAAAAACATAAGATCACCTATGTTAAACTATTGCCAAAAGAATTATCTTAAGTCTAATCATGAGGAAATACTCAGCTAAATCAAAAAATATACTGAAAGTCCAAAAGTTATTGGGGTCTGTTCTAAGTTAAAGGAGAATAAAAAGATGTAATAACCAAATACAATGTATGATAATTGATTAGATCCTGGGTCAGTCAGAAAAATATAGAACTATAATGGATATTTTTGGATAAGAGTGAACATTTGAATATGGACTGTCTGTTAGATAATATTGTTAAATGTTCAATGTTAAATTTCTCTTATTTATTTATTTGAGACAGAGTCTCACTATGTCACCTTTGATAGAGTGCTGTAGCGACACAGCTCACAGCAACCTCAAAATCTTGGGCTTAAGCGATTCTCTTGCCTCAGCCTTCCAAGTAGCTGGGACTACAGGTACCTGCCACAAAGCCTGGCTGTTTTTTGGTTGTAGTTGCCATTGTTGTTTGGCAGGCCCAAGCTGGATTTGAACCTGCCAGTTCCGGTATATGTGGCTGGTGCCCTAGCCACAGGAGCTGAACCAATATTAAATTTTTTGCATGTGATATGGGATTGTGGTTTATGCAGCAGAAATGTCTTCATTTTAGGAGGTACCTGATAAACTATGTTGGGATAAAGCAGCTTGTATTGTTTACAACTACCTTTCAAATGAATCAGGGGAAAAATGTCTTCATATGTTCCTGAAATGAAACACCTTTCCTCCCCACCCACCTAACATAATGCTCCATGCTAGGCTGGTGAAGGCTTCCTTTTCCCTTTTTAGAGCTCCTTGTCATGGAGCTCAGAGCCAGTAGAGCAAATAGTAGGTGCAGGGCCCCCTCCTGACACCATGTACTGATTTCTTGTCCCCTCACTATCTGAGAACACTGAGTTGAGGGCCTGGAGACCCAGGTTCAAGTCCCATTGGCCTTAGGAAAGTTTCTCCAACTTCTTGGCTTCCTCTTCTGGGCTACTGGGTCTCAGTGGCCGGTGGCAACCATGATGTGGGGTGGAAGAAGCTGTTCTTGAACTCAGATGCATATAGTATGCTGAGAGCTAGGAACAGTTTGATAAGTTTTGATGACCCCTTGTGGCCAGGGGATGGAAATGAAGGTTTGTTTTGTGGATTCTCTCTTCCCTAAACCAGGTCCTAATCATCATTTGGGGGAAGAAAGGAGAAAGCAAGGAATGCATGTGTGTGAGTGAGGCACTGGAGCTGACACCAGGAGCAATGCTATGGGTGGGCTGTAAAGTCAGGACTTGGAGCTGGAGCTGTGAAGGGACTGGGGGTGGGGTAGGGAAACACCCAGGAGCTATACAAGGACAGTGTTTAGGATCCCAGGCCTTGGGGGCAGAACTCAGCCTCACCTCTTCTGCCTCCACCTCCAGGCCCACGAGAGGCTGGAGGAGACGAAGCTGGAAGCTGTTCGAGACAACAACCTGGAGCTGGTGCAGGAGATCCTGCGGGACCTGGCGCAGCTGGCGGAGCAGAGCAGCACAGCGGCAGAGCTGGCCCGCATCCTCCAGGAGCCCCACTTCCAGGTTCCAGGCTGCTGGGGTCAGGGTGGGGATCAGAACCCCCAGGGTGGCAATGGGACAGGCCGCTGGGGGAGGGGTCATCAGGAAGCTGGGAGCTGGAATAGGAAGGGATCAAAGGGCACTGCCCCTTTGTCAATCCTCATCCCACCACCTCCCCAGTCCCTTTTGGAGACACATGACTCTGTGGCCTCAAAGACCTATGAGACGCCACCGCCCAGCCCTGGCCTGGACCCCACATTCAGCAACCAGCCTGTACCTCCTGACGCTGTGCGCATGGTGGGAATCCGCAAGACAGCTGGAGAGCATCTGGTGAGGGTGCCAAGCAGGGGTTGGAGGTGGGGTCTGTGAAGACGGGGATTGAGAGTAACCAGTGGGGGCCAAAAAATAAAAAAAATTCAGGAGAGGGCCAGGACAGAGATGGACTCAGCTTTGCCCTGGGCAGGGCCTATGTAGAACTAACAGACCAGACGCCGGGCATGCAGCTGCACCCGTAGGTGTGTCAGGATCCTCTCCATTCTGCCCGCTTTTCCCCATTAGCGCCTCCAGTAAGTGAAGAATTTGGGCAGAAGGAGGGAAAAGGACTTACTGAGGGCAGGAGTGGGCGGGTGGGGACAGAAGTGGAGGAGCTATTAGAAGACCTATTGAAGATTCGGACTCAGCAGCCGGGGCCCCATTAGACATTCTCTCTGTTCCCCAGGGTGTGACGTTCCGCGTGGAGGGTGGCGAGTTGGTGATTGCGCGCATTCTACACGGAGGCATGGTGGCTCAGCAAGGCCTGCTGCACGTGGGTGACATCATCAAGGAGGTGAATGGGCAGCCGGTCGGCAGTGACCCTCGTGCGCTACAGGAGCTCTTGCGCAGCGCCAGTGGCAGTGTCATCCTCAAGATCCTGCCCAGCTACCAGGAGCCCCATCTGCCCCGCCAGGTGTGCCCCTTCCCTTAGCCCTTTGCTGGCATTTTGTGCAGTGGTCTTCGCACACTTGTGCTGGAGCGCATGCTCAGGGTGGGGCTTGTCACGTGTCCTAGACAGCTGACTCCTGGATGGTGGATCCAGGAGGTCTGGCTGCTTTGTCTGTCTCTCCTATTGGTTCTCTCACCCAGAGCTAGAGACCCCTCTAAAGCGAGCGGGTAGGTGCAGGGAAAGATCCAGGATTAGGGCCAAGGTCTTATCTTCTCCCCGGTGATCCTGTTTCCTTGGTCTTGAGGCCGGTCCCAGCCCTGAGCAGTTTCCTCCCTCCTCAATCAGAGTCCCCTTAGTTCTAGAGGCGAAGGGAGGCTGGAACCTGGGAGGTAGACGAAGCGGGCCTGGTGGCATCATTCTTCTGGCGCGGTGGAGGAAGGGGCAGTGCCAGCATCCCTTACATTTTTATGAGGGGAGGGGGCAGGAGGTGGACTGTGTGACACACTTATCTCCATCCCTGAGAGCATTCCCCTGCCCCTTCCCTTGACCCTTCGCTGATTCCTGTGCCCAGGTATTTGTGAAATGCCACTTTGACTATGACCCTGTCCGAGACAGCCTCATCCCCTGCAAGGAAGCGGGCCTGCGCTTCAGCGCTGGGGACTTGCTTCAGATTGTAAACCAGGACGATGCCAACTGGTGGCAGGTGAGCCCTGGGTGCCCTGCAGCATCTCCAGGGATAGTGTGGGAGGGGGCGAGGGCCTCTAACCCAGGCAGGTCTTTGTCTGATGTCTATTTCAGGCGTGCCACGTAGAAGGGGGCAGTGCTGGGCTCATCCCCAGCCAGCTGCTGGAGGAAAAGCGGAAAGCATTTGTCAAGAGGGACCTGGAGCTGACACCGACCTCAGGTAGGAGGTCCCCCCACCCCAGACCCCCAATCTGGGATCTGGCAGGGCCTTTTCGGACTCACACTCATCTATCTCACTATGGCAGGGACCTTATGTGGTAGCCTTTCAGGAAAGAAAAAGAAGAGAATGATGTATTTGACCACCAAGAATGCAGGTGAGTGTTAGAGCCCCTCTCCCCCACCCTTCTTTAACATTGCGTGTCCCCTCCCTCCCCCACCAATGACTTGGGAATATGCTCATCAGCTTTGTCCCTAGGCCCTGGGGTTCCACCCAGTCCTCCCTGCTTCCTTGGTCCCAAGCCCTCTTATCCTCCGCTTCCCTGAGAGCTCTGCCCTCCCCACCATGTAGCCTGATGAGCAGTGCCATCTCCCTGTGTCCAGAGTTTGACCGTCACGAGCTGCTCATTTATGAGGAGGTGGCCCGCATGCCTCCGTTCCGCCGAAAAACCCTGGTGTTGATTGGCGCTCAGGGTGTGGGCCGGCGCAGCCTGAAGAACAAGCTTATCATGTGGGATCCAGATCGCTATGGCACCACGGTGCCCTGTGAGTGGCAGCTGGGCAATGTTGGGTGGGGGACTGGAAGCAGAGGCTGCCCTGGGGTCCACTGAACATACATCTTCACTGGTACCAGGTCATGTGGCACCTTTGTATGTACAGTGTTAGGTGTTCACCCTCAGTGGATGGGTGGGTGGGGCCTGCAGGCTCAGAAGAGCTGAGGGAGTGACATCCCAGTGGGTGGCCCATTGTGCTGGGATGGCTTCCTTTTCTTGCTGTCACATTACACTTGCTAAAAGCTGTGGAAAAAAAGTCAGTGTCCAGTTGAGGACCTGGGTGAAATAAGGTTATGAGTTGTATGTAGCCTTGTGGAAGACTGGGTTGCTTAGTGACAGGACCAGAGTGAGTGGTGGAAGCTGCTGGCTTCAGACTCTCATGCCGGCCCCACATCTGCCTGGCCCTTACTGTGTGGCTTTGGGCTGCACATTACCCTTTCTGGGCCTTGGCCTTCCATCTGTGCTCACTGGCTTGGACCAGGTCCCCCTGGGCATGGACACCGTGCTCTGCATGGGTGAGGGTGAGGGCGGGAGTGTAGGAAGGCAGCAGTGCCGGCAGGGTGAGAACAGGGAGCACATGTAGGACATGTGCATGTGTGTTGGAGGTGGGGTGACCTGCCTGTGCCATCTGGCCCCTCCGACACCTTAGACACATCCCGACGGCCCAAGGACTCAGAGCGGGAAGGCCAGGGTTACAGCTTTGTGTCCCGTGGGGAGATGGAGGCTGACATCCGTGCTGGGCGCTACCTGGAACATGGTGAATACGAGGGCAACCTGTATGGCACACGTATCGATTCCATCCGGGGTGTGGTCGCTGCCGGCAAGGTGTGCGTGCTGGATGTCAACCCCCAGGTACTGTCCCCACCTGCTCCGTCCCAGCATTCTCTCTGCTTGCTCATGTATTTCTAGGCACTTGTCACCTAAGAACACCTCCTCTACCCTCAACTAGTGCTTAGGGACCCAGCCCATCTAGAATCTCTTTCTCTGCTTTGGCTACCATTTGTCCCCAGGACTCATATCCCAGAGCCCCAGGCACTCCTTTCTCATCCACTCTTGGGTGCCCACCTCCAGTCACCCCAGATGGCTTTCTTCCAATTCCCAGGATGGAGTTGGGGATATCCTCCCAGATCTCCTTTCTCCTGCAGGCAGTGAAGGTGCTGAGGACAGCTGAGTTTGTCCCTTACGTGGTGTTCATTGAAGCCCCAGACTTTGAAACTCTGCGGGCCATGAACCGGGCCGCACTAGAGAGTGGAGTGTCCACCAAGCAGCTGACGGTAAGGGCACTGATGGCCACTTGGCTGGCTGAGGGGTGGGCCCCCCTAATGAAAAGAAGGCTGTGGTATTGAGTGAGGGGAGAGGTGCCCACTCAAGTTATCAGTGAAGTAGGACTGTGATCCCTGCTTTCTAGATGTGGAAAGGGAGGTCTGAGAGAGAAGTGAAGTGTCCAAAGTCTCAGAGTGAGCCAGGGACACAGGTAGCCTAGGACACAGGAGCTTCTGAATGCAGGCCCACTGCTTGGTCTGCTCTGCAGGGACAGAGGACTAGCTGGAGGGAGATCTGTGGGCCAGAGGTGGGTTAGGTAGGCTTCAGGTTGCTTGCAGCTGGGAAGGGAGGAAGCCAGAGGCAGGACAGCAGGCTGGAGGGGTGTGTTAGCACAGACAGCAGGCAGGGAAGCAGGGAGGAGAGGCTGCAAGGTTGATGAGCAAGATACAGGCACCTGCTGCCACGCTCTCTGGAGGTGTGGAGTTTGCGGAGTGCTGAGCTCAGGGTTCCCTCTGCTGGCCATATCTGATACTGCAGCTCTCAGACACCAGGTCAGTGATGGCCAGATCCTAGGAGGGGCTGCCTGGGCTGGGGTCATTTCTGCTGTTGGCCCCTTGAGGGAGCTCTAGCCACCTCCTCCCTGGCAACAGATGTGGCCAACTGGAGCCTCTGGGACACAACTGGCTGTGGCTTATTTAAGCCAGCCATCCAGTTCCCTGTCCCACCCTCCCCAGCCAGCTTCCTGGCCCCCCTCCCACACTTGTGGGTTGCCTTGGTGCCAGCTTCTCATTTGCATAGGTAAGGGGGACCTAGGCAACCTGGAGGGAGCATTGGCTTGGAAGTCAGGCAAACCCTATTCAGCCCCTAGCTGGCTGTGTGGCCTCTTTGTACCTCAGTTTTCTCTATTGTAAATGGGAGGTAATTAATCCTGCCCTGCCGAGCTGTAGTGATTATGTGGATTGCAAACCAGTTAGTGGTATGCCTGGCATTGCTAAAGCTTATTTCCTCCCTTCCCTCCTTCATTTGTCCATGGTTGCAGTAGACCCACTGTGGGGGCATCAGGGAGGGATAGTGGGACCACTGTGGTGGGGCTTTGGGAAGGGGGAGGTTAGGTAGGCCATGGACCCCCCTGACTGGCAGAGGTCCCCTGGTGTCTGGGCAGGAGGCGGACTTGAGGCGGACGGTGGAGGAGAGCAGCCGCATCCAGAGGGGCTATGGGCACTACTTTGACCTCAGCCTGGTCAACAGCAACCTGGAGAGGACCTTCCGAGAGCTCCAGGCAGCCATGGAGAAGCTGCGGACAGAGCCCCAGTGGGTACCTGTCAGCTGGGTGTACTGAGCCTGTTCATCTGGGCCTCAGCCCCTTTGTATTGAGACCCAGAATCTGAATCCATCCCCTCCCCTCCTGTGGCCCCTGCCACAGTCCTTAGCCCTGTCCCTGGCTCTCTTGGGTAACAGCTCCCAGCTGGCCCTAAGTCTGGCTTCAGCGCAGAGGCGTGCACTGCCAGGGAGGTGGGCCTTCATGGGGTACCTCTGTGCCCAGGTGCTGCCCACTCCCAATGTCCATTGGCCACCAGATGTTCCCCCCTGAGGGCCAAGCTGCACCCAGGAGTGTGTCTGTGTCACCTCTATAATGCTCAGTCCAGAGAAGAGAAAAGCTGCTTTGGGACTACATGGTCAGTAGGTACACTGCCCCCTGTCACCTCTCCCCAGTCACTGGTTCTCCTCTGGACTGGCTACCCAGGAGCCTAGAGCAGGCCTTGTGCTGTTCCCCTGGGGCCAGGACAGTGAATAGCCCACTGGCAGCCAGGTAGGCCCAGGCTGTGGTGCTAGCCTGATGCCACTCTGGAGCATGATGGGGCCAAAGTGCAAGGCAGTGGCCCCAGTTAGGAAGCAGCTGGGTCCCAGGAGTGGACACTGCTCTGTCCCTTCATCCACAGCGTCTCACTGCCGGAGTCTCTCCACAGACTTCTCCAATGCGCTCTGACTGGTCAGCCCTGCTGCCCATGAGTGAGGCTGCCAGGAGCCAGCAGATCAGCTTAGGGGTGGAGGGAGGTGGTTGGAGGTTAGGCTGAGCCCTACAATGAGGAGCCTGCTACTGCAGACTGAAGAGCCCCAAGGCCTCCACAGCCCACAGTGGAGACACTTCTGGGCTCCTAGACCATGACCTTTGTCCATTTTGGCCTTCTCTTGGGCTGGGTTCAGATAGCCCACCTGCACCAGGGTTGCTGGCATGAAGAAGCTGAGGAATGCAAGGGGGACTTTGTGAGCCCTGGGGCACGGAGCATGGGCTAGGAGAGGGATGGCCCCCTAGCAGGTTCTTCATTCCAGGGTGCCATTCACATTGTATGTAGTCTATGGTTCCATGTGCTGGGGTGCCTGGTCTTGTTCCTGCACTGGGGTGTGGGCGTCTGTGTGGTTTGGGGGGAGGGAAGAAGATGAGACCCTTTCCCAGATTCCAGAGTCTGACACCCCTCCCCCATCCAGATGTCTCTTACTGTTCTCTTACCCTAAATGCCACCCTCCAATCCTGGGGGAGGGCAGTTTTGTAAAATAGAAGAATCCCCTTTAAGGAAAGAATGCTGTCCTAGACTTCCCTGGGCATCTCATCCCTCATCCTTCTTCCCTCTCTGTGACCCTTCCCTTCCAGGGGTGAGCCAGTCCTCCCAGGGAACCACCCGGGATGCCTCCACCCCCACCCCTGTGCCTCCTGGTTCTTCTGAGTGTCTAATTAGTCTTTGCTGCAGTGTCAGCCAAAGCTGGCCCCTGAACCACTGTGTGCCCATTTCCTAGGGAAGGGGAGAGAGAATAAACAGAATATTTATTACAAATGTTAGAAATATATTTATTATATTAGGAATCTCATTTACATTTGCATAGGAGATACACATGAGAGGTAAAGGTCAAGCCTGCTCCTGTCTCATCTATATAGCTCTGCATATGCTATGCAGTCACCCTGTACCCTTCTTTTCCCTTTAGTTGATGCCCTTTTCATCTTCGACTCAGCTCTCCCTTGAGTCACCCTTACCCTCAGCTTAAGTGGACTGGGAGTGGGGAAAAATGGGGTGTTTTCCAGCTGACCTGAGGCCATGAGGTCATTTGCCCCTTCTCATTTCCCCTGGGGGGACTTGGGAGTAGGGGCCAGGAAGGATTTGCTCTTACAACCACCCCTGCCCCTTGGCTACCTTCCAAAGCACCCTGACCGAGTGACCACAGTCTCTGCCTTGTGACTGTCCTCCCTCCTCCTATTGTGAACACTTGTACTTGGGGGACTCAGGAGAATGAGCACCCAGCTGCCCACTGTCCACATTCAGTCCCAGCCCTTCCTCTCCCTCAGCCATCCAATTCTCAAGCTTTCTCTCTGACTAGTTTTCTTTCTTTTCCTTTGATTAAATGTGAAAAAGAAAGACTTCTGGCTCTGTTTGTCTTTGATTGGGGTTGGGTGGACACAACACAGATGATTCTAGAAGGGGCATCAGAGAAACATGTCTTATGTTCTATGTCTTCCTTTCCCATCCCTCCCCTCCCCGCCACACTTCCCAGCCCCAGAAGTCGCTTCTAAAGGCTATGCCAGGAGTCTGTGAGCATCCATGGGGAGTCCATGGCCAATCGACTGAGCCCCACCTGGAACTTGTGGCCATAGGAGGTCCCTCTATCTCTTGGAGCCTCAGGCTCACCCTTTGTGAAAGTGCTATGGGCTTACCTTCACTAGGATTGTTTGCAGGTGCTCAACAACAACAGCCATCAGTGACATTGCAGTGCCATCCAGGTGTCACCACAGGGGAGTGTACATGGCAAATCCTTTGGGGTTAAGGGATCTGGCTTCCCTTCACTTGAGGGGAGCCCAGCGTGCCACTCCTTTGGGATTATCAAGGGTTCTCAAGAGGCGCCATTGACTGTTCCCTCCTTCCTGCAGTGGCCAGATGTGCAGTCAGCCCTTCTTTGGATTTCCCCAAAGCATCCACTCACACAGGGATGAGTGTGGGCCAACTTGACTGGTGGTTTGGAGGCAGCCAAATGGACTCATGCCATTCACTTCACTGCTCTGATGAGAAGTTAGAATTGATTACTAAACAACCCTTTTCTGGAAGGCTCCCTGACTATTCCCTGTACAATGAATGTCTTCCTTCTTTGGGCCCACCTGCCTCCCAGCATGTTACCAAGTTCTCTTTGTTTTCTTATGTTTTTTGAGACAAAGTCTTGCTATGTCACTCTCGGTAGAGTGCTGTGGCGTCACAGCTCACAGTAACCTCAAACTCTTGGGCTTAAGTGATTCTCTTGCCCCAGCCTCCCAAGTAGCTGGGACTACAGGTGCCCACCACAGCACCTGGCTATTTTTTGTTGCAGTTGCTATCGTTGTCTAGTTGGCCCAGGCTGGGTTTGAACCCACCAGCCTCAGTGTATGTGGCTGGCGCCATAACCACCGTGCTATGGGCACCAAGCCCTCTCTCTTCTCTTATTTCTAGACAACCACCTCCCCATCTCCTGGGGCACCAAGAAACTCAACATTGCTCTGGTGTACCTAGTCATTCTGCACTTACATGTCTGTCCTTATCCAGTGGGTCTCAGCCTTGGCTACACATTTAGTGGGGTTAAAAAACAAACAACTGCCCTCTCCAAATCAATTGAATCAGAAGTTCAGGAAAGGCTAACAGGCACGTCTCAGTAACTTAACATCTTTAGTGTTCATGCCTTGCTCATATCACATCTCATGCGAGTTGGGGTGTCATTCCTAGCAGTGACTCAAAGATCTAGCCCCTTTCCATCTTGTGACACTGTCATCCTTACTGAGTAGACTCCAAAGAACTCATACACAAGGAAGAGAAGGTGTAAAAGGTTGCTCGCAAATTTTGTAGGCTAGGCTTATGTGCTTACATCTATTAGAGGTGGTTATCCAGAAATAAGAGACTTGGCAACACAACCTAGTCCTGAGGCTCCAGGTTGCTGCAAGGGAGTCTGGGAAATGTAGTCTTCCTTTGGGCTCAGGAAGAGGAAACAGGATCCAGTCAGCCTGCAGGGGCTGAGGGTGGAGCCTGAGAAGCGGTTTGTTTTAAAAGCTCCCCAGGTGCTTCTAATATGTAACCAAGTTTGCCAATCTCTGCTTATCAATTTTGGCCATACCCTTGGGGTAGAGGAAATATCTTTTGGCCCCAGTTGGCATCAGGGTATTTTCCTAATTAAATATCTAGTTGAATTTCTAGAAGGAATTGTGCCTCCAATTTGTTTTTATTTTTTAAAACCCCTTTCCCATCTTGGCACAACAGCATGTGGTTAGTAGTGCGAATGGATTCTTAGCATATTATAGATGGAAAATGAGATAAGTGAAGAGCTTTGTCCATTGTCACGTGGGAAGTCATCAGCTGAGCTGAAACCAGACCCTAGGACTCCTGGCTCCCAGTCTGGGGCTTTCTTCCCACATTGCCTCCCAGAGTTGTGGAGATTGACTAGATTCAGGGGGGAGGAAGCACTTTTTGAGCAGGAACATGGGGGTAAAAGAAGACCATGAGGGAGAGGGTGGGATATTTTGCCAACTCCAGATTCATTCAGCTCTTCAAGAGATCCAAATGCTCTAGGTGACTGGGGGCATCACCAGCCTGCAGCTCACCCCGGAGTCCTGTGTCTCCTCTCCATCTCCCTCATGGCTGGCTTTGGTGGTGACCATAGACTTCCGGGAGAGAGAGGTTCAAGGGAACAAGGAGGACTATCTAGCTTGTTCTATTGATCTGGTTGTCTAATTGCCCTTATCACAGTTTTAATTATTTAGAGATTCCTGTGTTTTACTATCTAGAAAGGAAAGTTTCCAACTACTCTCTTGATCAATTATCTTTCCTTAGTCATGCTTTCTTGTTTATCCCAGAAGGCGAACTTCTTTATCAGAGTACACTCTTCCTATTGGGATCTTAATTGGAATTGCATTAAATTGATGCATTAGTTTGGGAAGAATTGGCACTCTTCAGTGTTTGGTCTTCCACCTGGGACCATGGTCTGCCTCTCCACGTGCTTGGGTCTCCTTGCGGCTCAGGGCTTGTCTGCCATGCTGACAGACATGTTCTCCAAACAGCAGCAATATGATCAACAGAAAGACAACACAGGGACTTTCTTATAAAGCAAAATCCACTTTTTTAAAAAAGAACCTGTCCTTTCCTTCCTCCCCCTTCTTTCAGGCTAAAACAGCTCTCATATAAGAAGTCCCCCCCTCCCCCTTATTTCTAAATGCATAAGTAGACTATATGTTACTCAAATCATGTTTGACGTCTGCAATGATAAGAGGTGCTCAATGTGATGTGTATTCATCTTTTGTTATCAGCAGAAATTGAGTATTACAATTATTTTGGCACTGTGTGCCACGACACTCTACCCAGGCTGACATAATGAAACTCTGCCTCAAAAAAAAAAAAAAAAAA